GCCTCAACATAGCCCTGGCTCCTGGAGTGCTTCCCCCCTCCTCCTCTCTCCCACTTCAGTACTGACAGGGCTGTTCCTCACACTTTTGTCCTCACTCCTCACATTTCCATCATTCTTCCTCTTTCTTACATCTCCTTCCTCAAAGTGCCACCACCACAAGTGCTGACGGGCCAGGCTGTGCCTGGCCACAGAGCCACTGGAACCAGCTTCCAGCACCAACTGTGTCTCCCTGGGGGCAGACACAGCCTCTGCTCACAGAAACCACTCAGCTCCACTGCCTGTTCAGTCTCTACAAGGCTTCACCAGACAAGCACACCACACACAGGAGTAAAACACCCCTAAATCCCACATAAGCCTTCTTCACTCTGGTACAGCCCTGAGCTACACACAGCTCACTGACCCCGGGACAGGAGGGAAATGGTGAGGGCCTGACAAACATTCCCCTGTGGAAGTTGTTTGGCATCAGTAACTCTACTAGCATCATCCTCACTTAACTACCTTTCCCCTTTAGTTGTCAAATAGCAGTGAATGACAAATGACTGCTGAAAATAAGGCAGAGAGAGATAACAAATTTTGCATGCAGCTGTTCACTGACTCCTTAAGAACCACACCTACAGCTGCAATTACAGCTTTAGTTAATAAAAGCAGAAGACAGGGGCGAATCCCAAATTTTAACAGGGTTTTAGGGTCACCATGTGTATTTTGGCTCCATCATGGTGACTGGATTGTGGGAAGGCACAGGTCTAGCTAATTTTCTGCCTATTCTTCTATCAGGTATTTCATGAAATGATACAACAAATCACCTTTAAATTTGAGAATTTTCTTTTTAATTGAACTCTAAATTTGCATTAGCCTGCATTTATGCTATCATTAACAATAAATCTGGGCTTTTTTCCTTCCCTGCTAAAAGCCAGAGCTGCTCATCTAAAAATAACTACTGCCCTTTAGCCCAATAGTTTTTATGTGTATATTTTTCATATTATCATCTCATGCTTTTAGCCTCAGTAATGATATTTCAGTAATTAGATACAAACTGGCATGCAAATTGCTAGTAGCAGGTTCCCCATAGTGATCTGATTTATAGCATGATAAAAATTTTACTTCCAGGAAAGCCAAAGCCAAAGATGAAGAAACAGCTCACAACGCATCAAGTGGTAGCTGACACACAGTGTGGTGCTCCAGCTGTGCCGTCCAGGATCATTGCTGGAAATTCAGGCTTTCCCATGCCCAGATGCCCATCAGTATTATCAAAATGCATCCTGGAGATTGCTTGTTCTGACAAAACTCTTTCTGGTGGGTGTCTCTGCCCCATGTCCGCCCTGCATCCCATCTCCAAGTTACCAATGCAAAGACCAAACCTCTTTCTCACTTTACTGATGTGGGGTTTTTCTGGTTAATTATCCCTTACACCTCTATAATCCTGCACCTCAGCAAGATTTCACATCAGCAGAACTCTGTTGTACAACCTTATTGCAGAATTTCAGGTCACTTTGAGGGCATACCAGATATTCCTGTGCAGAACTGTGTGCATGGGTTGTCAGAGAAGTTAAGAAGAAAATACATTTCATCACCCAAAGCATGAGCTTTTACAACTCAATTAATTCTCTGACCTGCACGATGTACTATGCAATCACCAGAGAAAATCAAAATTGCCTACATTAGTTCAGTGAACCAAAAATCATAGAATCATAGAATAGTTAGGGTTGGAAAGGACCTTAAGATCATCTAGCTCCAACCCCCCTGCCATGGGTAGGGACACCTCACACTAAACCATCTCACCCAAGGCTTCGTCCAGCCTGGCCTTGAACACTGCCAGGGATGGAGCAACCCATTCCAGTGCCTCACCACCCTCACAGTAAAGAACTTCCTTATATCTAACCTGTTTTAGTTTATCCCCTGTTTAAGTTTAAACCCATTACCCTTGTCCTATCACTACACTCCCTGATGAAAAGACTACAGTCTTTGATGAAGAGATACATTCTAAGCAATGACAGATATCCATCTTTTATTTTATTCTTTTGATGTTGCTAAGTACACATTTTAAATAGTGAGAGCACTTTCCATTTTCCAGAAGGTGAAAATCCTCTCTGGGCTGCTACATGTCTGCTGAAAATTGGACCACAGTTAATTCCTGGGTCAATGTCCATTGGTAATAGGAATAATTTTATACCAGCACATCTTTGATGAAAGCACCACATAGACAGGCTTAAGGCAGTTTTTCTACTGTGTATCTGTCATCACTTGGAAACAGGGTGTTATCTCCAGGAAGCAGGGCTGGCAGTGAAAGAACTGGCCCTTCTCAGAAGTGTTGACAGGACTTACGTAAGTGGGAGTAAGACATTCAGGAGATATGAGTGTTAGCTACCCAAAAGACACATCAAAGTTTCAGTACACAGGATGACACTGTGCTTCCCTAACTTCTTTTTGTTTTTCATTAAAGGATTGGTTTCCCTTTCAGGTCACGTTTACAACTGGTTTGTGTAGCTTCTGTAACAATTACCACAAATGACAGCTTGACCTCAGGAAAGGGGCAGAGTTAAGCAGTAGGAGTCTTGCAGAAAATACAGACTGTGTTGGAGGTTTCCCACTGAATTCTGCAAAAGCAGCTCTCTGTAATAGGCACCTGTTTTCTTCATCTCACACACACACACATTACATGCCACTTTGAGGTTTTATTTGTTAATTTTCTGAAGTCCTTTGAGATCCTGATATTTGATCATCATGGTTTCAATTGTAGATATTGACCTATGAAATTCTTTGAAATAAAAACGTCTGCTAGTGCACAGTAAGAAAATGAAGTATTGCCACTTCGAATGAAAGAGCAGTGTGACTAATGACAGCATCAGGAATCTAATGCTCTCTGAAACTACTGCTGTATATTAAAACAGCCCTTCTGTACTGATAACTTTCAGAAAGGACTATAACAGCATCCTTTCAGCTAGAGCTTTCCATCTCTCCAGATATTTCATTGCACTCCTAACTTCAATATCACCTTTATTTTAATAGCAAGGCTTTGCATGATAATATCTCCTGCGCTTTGGCAGGGTCTAAAAACACCAATGCAGCTGGTAGCAGAGAGTCACCAGTAATTTCTTCAGAGAACGATTAAGTAGATATATACTTTTGATACAGAAATTTCTTTTGGTCTGAAAACTTAACACCAATTTCCAGCAGAGGCGCCTTTCTTTGCCCTTGTCAAATTAAAAGTGTAAATATCAGTTGATAGGTGGGAAGGGGTAGGGTGGTTTGGGTATTTTTCTTGTTTCTTTTTTTTTTAATCAAAGTGTATTTGAGCTCACTAACCTTATGCGTTTTCACAAGCTGATTAAAATGGGCCCAACTCAAAACATGTGGCTTTTTTTTTTCCTAGGAATAAAAAAGGAACAACGGAGCAGAGTACTGACATGTACTCCATTTATTTTAAATAAGTTGTGACTGCATACCAGTGGCCTAAAGTGCATAAGGATTCTCAAAGAAACTAAGAAACTGCTTTGACCAAACACACAATGTATTGCAAGGGACAGTACATTGGTAGAAGCATAGTACTGCTAGTCAGTGACTATACCAGCCCAAACCACAGCTCTGTTGTTTCACGTATACTCATTAGAGACTGTCTCATGCTTTCTCCGATCAGTTACCGCCTTACATGTATTTCACATCATATTATCCTGCTTTCACGATCAACTGCTTTATCCATAGACTAAGCACTTGCAAAAGTACCAGCTAGACTAGGGCTACTACCACAGTTCATGCTTTATATCATTAAATAGGCTTTATATGATGTTCAGCTCCCTCCATCCTGCACAGACTGTCATTAACCCTTAGACAAATTATGGCCCTTCTGCTCCTCCCTCTGGCAAGGTGCTCAAATGCCCTATTACCTCAGCTTCATGCTAATGATTGACTGCCATGTTTTTCAGGCCTCTGTTGGCATTACTACAGAAAGCATCCCTGTAATTGCCAATGAGAGCTTTAACAAGCACTTCTCCATACAGCACAACTAAATCCTGGAATGAGGAGCTCCCACAGGAGGCTGAGTAGACCAGAAGCGTGATCGAGAACAGTCCAATTCCCACATGGTTCCTGTGCAAAAAGGCTTTTTTACCTTCCAGTGCAGCTTAGCAGAAGTACCTCTGGTTTTATATCTTCCCTACTGCAGCACTTTGCAGTGATTTGAACTCCTTTCTGCATGAAGCAGTGGAGCAAACCTCTGTCAGAGGATCCTGAGCTGTTCCAGCAGGGCAGTCATTCGACGGATGCTGTGCTGAAACTGATTAAGTTGCAATTACCATCTAGAAGCTGGCAGACCCAGACTGTTCCAGGCTCTATTACAGATCAGTTTTACACTGGGCATAGTGGCCTTGAAGCTGTTTCAACTGTGATAATCAATAGGAAAACGTGGCCTAGCACTTAGGAACCTTGGTAAATGTTTCTTCTGTGCCGCAAAACCCAGAAATAGATACGTACTCAGGCTGAAGAATGGTTAAACACTGGTCAACAGAAACAATTTAAACAAGGATAGAAGAGAAAACAACACATCCAGAAACTCAGTGTCACAGTTTCTATACCTGGAGGAAACACTGCCTGTAGGACTCATCACTCACAGTACATGGCATATTGCCTGGCATTCGAGGGCTAACCTTAAACCCAATAGATACTGAATGGCTTCACCTGGGATGACAGTAGTCCCACTTCTGTACTGAGAAGCTCACATCTGGCACCTGCAGCCATGACTGGTTTATGAAACTACTCAATGACCCTCATGGGGTCCCAGCACTGCATTGGCACCATACTGCTTGCCCAGGTGCATCCTGCTTTGAAGTGAATCATGTTCTTAAAAAAATTCATGACTTATCAATCAAAATCCCATGTACTATCCCTGCAAGCCAGCAGCCCACTACATGGCCCAGTTTGTTGGACTGCACAGTGGGATCAATCCACACAGGCTGCACAAGCAGTCCAAAACCTGCCCTTTGGACACATCAAAAGCTAGTGGGAAATAAGTCGATAAACTTGGCAGACAGAGAGGGAACTGTGGGGAGGGCAGCAGCAAATGATCTGGGCTTAAACCACATACCGAACCTCTGCTGCTCATCTGTTCTTGGGTATAAAATCCTTCCTTATTTATGCAGTTGAGCAAACTTGGTCAAATTTGTCTGCTATCCTGGACAGCGTCCAAAATGGTCTTAAAATAAAGGATAGCAATTCATATATAGATTTCCTTATAATGGCCTTCACCAAAGGCACTTCGTTATTTTTCTTTGTTACACAAATTGGTCACTTAGCACATGCACAGCAACTTCACTCCTCCAGTGCCAGCATGCTTCTATGTCCAAGTAAAACCATGCCTGTGAGCAGAGAAATCACTGACTGGCAAAATCCAGGTTTTACTACACGCTAACTGCATTCCAGCAATGAATAAGCTCCAAGCAGCATTTCTCCCTGGCTGCCACAGGAGGCGACTGGGAGAGCATAACTGGAGGTATGCCAGGAGGGTACTTCCCTATGACAGGGGTAATTAATACAGGGGAATAGGACAGCTAGAGGAGTGTGCGTTTATTCTCTCCTGCACGGGAAGCTCAGAGTTCACTGACTCAACCCTACTGGGAAAACCAAACTCACCTCTCATCTGGGAAACACTGAGCATCTTCAATTCCCAAGGCAACCAGTAGGATCAGTGGGTGCTCAGCCTTCTCAAGGGCTACAGAAACAAAGCAAGGCTGAGCCCCTGCTGCTGCAAACATGCTATTTGAAAGCTTCTTTCCACACACACCAAAACCTCTCTTTTCCTAATTCTTTCTGGTATTTGCTAGCTTGCATATAGCATAGGCTGATGTTTGCATTCAAGGCACAAGTGTCCTGTGGTTACCTCACTGCATCACATCTTCATTAGCAGCATGAGGGGAAACAGCTCCAGTAGAGGGAATGTCTGTCATCCTGAAAGAAAAAGTTCTCATTAAAAAGAATAAAAATAAAATATACTTCTTTTTCACCAACTTTTTCTGGACTGTGCTGGTGAGCCTGAATATTTGTAATATCCAAGCAATTTGAGTGACTCTGTAACAAACTCAACAATAATTCAAAAGTAAATATAAGCAACTGTTCAAAGGTTCAGACCAAAATTTATCAGGTTCAGCAAATCCTATAGGATAATAGAGGATCCGTACATGCTTTCAAAATACAAGCTAGAAGAAGAAACCTTGTTCTTTTCTTTTTGTCCCCTGTTGCATTAAATCAATGTGTTTTCTTAGTTGACTGACTTATAATTTTTTTAGCTTCTATCCTTATTTTGTCTTTTGCAATGTACATTTCAAGGAAAGAATGAGATAGTGTTTAATATAATCCAATAGAGCAGAATCAAAACAAGCCAAAGGACACATCCATATATTCATTTCCTCCCCTCCATTTGTTCTCATATCTTCACCATTCAACTATAATAAAATAACACTAGATAACTAACAATTCCTGCAGTGTTAGGCTTCAGACAGCATTTAACCTGAGAGTCCCTTATTAATGTGAATGGAAATAAGTAAGGTTTTGTCACATCCTGATCCACATTACAGTATAAATAATCAGCTGTTGCCACAGAAGCTTTAAAAAAAAAAAAAAAAAGAAAGAAAATATTCAAATGAACAGAAATTGGTGAGATAAAAAAGGCAGTATATAAATCATATTCTTCTTATTAATGTTATGCATTTTTATTTTCCAGGAATCAAAACAGCACACTTTGTGTGCATTTAGAAATCAGAGTTGTATTCTGAAATGTTTAATTTACATGCAAATTAGATTCAGGGACCTACTTGTTGCAGATACTCCCTTCCATCATAAACTGGTCTTTAAGCCTAAGTAAAAGGATAATATTATGGCAACAAGATTATTACAGGTCCCGTAAAAGTTAAGTTTCAAAAAGCTATACAGATTTGACTCAGTGACCAGAAAACATAATGCAGAAGAAAAAAGAAACATTATAACAATAAAAAATCTGGATCTCCAGAGCAGCAAATGTGAAATTGCTTAATTTTAGAATAAACATAACAAAACAAAGATTTTTGGAATTACACTACTTTCTACTGTGTAAATCGTGTACCCAAAGAGGCCTGTGTATCACTTGTATTCTTCCAGCAAAAATGGTGACCATTTTCTCTATTTGGTCTACAATCTCTTGGTTTAGCTCACTATATTTCAATGACATATTTGTTAATATGGTTTCACAATGGTGACAGATATGGAAGGAGTAGTTTTGCAACAAGTGTTATCATCCAAAGCTTGATGAAATGGAAGGAAGAACTCCATAATATGTTTAACCACAACAGCTCTGTCTGGGACAAGCCTTGAAAACTATTCTCCAGAGAATCATTTGAACGCAAGTTTCACCAAAACATTGGACTATTCAGGAGCTGCACTTTGTGTGAGCAGTGGTACAGTATTTACACTTTATCACCACTGCAACAAAAATGTTATTTGATGGAAAATTGCATGTCCTGAAACAAAAAAAAAAACAACATAGAAATATGCTTTTTCTAATGCTCCACATTAGGTTTGGCAAGTAGGAGATACTGAAAAATAAATCTTTTCTCTTTGCCTGCCTCTGGCTCAAGAAGCCTAAATGCAACAGCTCTGACGACATCTTGCAAAAGTTCATGTTTTCATGTTTGAGCCCTTTCCATGGAAATGAAAGACATCAGACACATTGAAAAAATCAAGCTTATGCAACTGTGAAAGACTAAAATCTAGTGACTTTCACAGAGAAGAAAATCATTTAACTCCCCTCTTGCAAGTTTACTATATGTATAAATAAAGCATTACAGCACCATTGTGTTGTCCATGGGTGTACAATGACAATATTAGTTCAGTGCAAACCTGCAGAGATCCCACAGTGGTTTCACAGTAATACAAGAATATATTAAGAAATTGTTTGGGAATTGCATAAATATGCCATGACAGTGTCATTAAGAGCCTTTTACATTGTGATGGGAAAACAGTTTGAATGCTATTAGTGTAGAGATACTTATTTACAAGATTTTCGTGTTGGAAAATTAGTTTAGCACAATTATGTTCGTATGTGGCTCCAGAATTTCTGCACTCATGCAGTTACTAAGCACAGGCCTAATTTCTTTTCATTCCTCAAGGAAATGGGAATTTTCTTCACTAAAATGTTCCCAGACTGGTATCTTTGTACCACTATCAGCTCCTCTTGTCATCATTTCATTTCCTGAATCATTTTATAGCTCACTACTCCGACCCATTTCTAGTCATTCCATTTTTTCAGTTTGAAGAGAACTACTGCATTATCAGTGATTTATTAGGATTTTATCTGTGGCTAATTATGATTGATTTCAATAACCTGCTTTTCAAGCTGTCACAAACAATTGATTAGCACACACATTCTTTAAAAACCTTTTCTTAGATTCACACACTACATTTACTCATTAATGATTCCTGCAAAAGATGAATATGATAAATCATTCCAATGATGCCATAAAATTTACACATGTAGTTCTTAACCCTATTCCACCTGATACCATGCAGGTGACCACATAAATACACTTCAGTGTGCTAATTAATCTATTGTGTTTTCTAAAGAAGGTAATAAACAGCCTAATCAAACAAAACAGTCTTGAAAGGCTCACATGCTCACTTTTTTGAACATTTCATAATATATATGTAAAGCACATTCTCAGATGATATTCTTAATTTTTCTTCCCTGCTCTGCAGGCATAGTCAGCATAAATGACAACATTCTATATTCTACATATATGCATATATGTAGAGCATCTAAACATCTTAAGCTCCCAGAAAAAAAATTCTTCCCAGCTATTGCGTTTCCTTGAATAGGATGTGATGATGGGAGAGGCTGGACAGCTGGATTAAAACAGCATCCTAAACTACAGAGGGTTGAATTTGGTTGAAACAAACCTCATTCCCCATGTACAACCTCAATTGCATGTGCTAGGCCTGTTGCTACGTTACCAATGTTGCAAATTGAGTCTGAAGTAATAAACACTTTATTTGAAATCAGCTCTTAGTATAAAAACATTGGTTAGCAAAATAAATGTGAGCATATTATCGCTATTAAAAAAAAAATGTTTTCATGCAAAATTTTCTATACTCCTAGATTTAATGAGAATTTCTCTGGATCTTGCAAGTGCTTCATCATTTCATAAGTTCTAAACTGGCCTAAAGTCACAAATATGTGTTTGACATACAGATGAATCTGGGCCTACACATTTTACTTAGCTAGCCTTTTGCATTAGGTCCTGTTTCACAGTTAGCCAAGCAAAGCAACATGGTCACCAGAAAAATAGCTTTCAGTCTAACATGAAAGGAAATAGCTTTTTGAAGCTTATTACAGAGTACTCCTACTGAACTAAGGTGCAGGAAGTGAGGCACAGAATGAGACAGACCAGCCTTCTTATCAACTTTTACTCCATGCAACCGAAAATTGTGTCTTCTCCAAGAGCATATTGGGCAATTACAAACAAATTTGATAGGACATGACAGTCTCAAACATTTTTAAGTTCCTACAAGTTTCTGAACAGTGCTAGTGGGATTATGGCATGCTTCTCAGTTTGCCTTTTAGCCTGCAGCCTTTCAGTAAGTGGAGAAGTCTCCACACAGGGAAAGGCTGCAGACTAAGTTCAGTTATTACATGCCACTACTAAGCGATACACGTGTGTTTCTAGTCATCCAGCCCACATGTCATGGTGTAAGGCCAGCAGGTAACTCAGAACTACGCAGCCGCTCACTCATTCCCTCTCTTCTTCCCCACCTCACTCCTGGAGGGAAAGGGAAGAGAACTGAAAGAATGTAACTCCCAAATTGAGATAAGAACAGACCAGTAACTAAGGTATAACACAAAATCACTACTGCTGCTACCACCAATAATAATAATGATAAGGGAAATAACAAGGCAAGAGAATACAACTGCTCACCACCCACTGACCGATACCCAGCCTGACCCGAGCAGTGATCTAACCCTTCCAAGTAACTGCCCCCAGTTTACATCCTGGGCATGACATGCTGTTGTATGGAATACCTCTTTGGCTAGTTTGGGTCAGGTGTCCTGGCTCTGCTTCCTCCCGGCTTCCCCTCCTCCCTGGCAGAGCATGAGACTCAGAAAGTCCTTGGTCAGAGTAAACATTACTGAGCAGCAACTAAAACCATCGGAGTTATCAGCACTGCTCCCAGGCTGAAAGTCAAAAACACAGCACTGCACCAGCTGCTGAGAAGGATTAAAAACGACTGCTACTGCTGAACCCAGGACAACACACATTCCTCAAATGCAAACATCACACTTTCCTCCTCTTCTGCAGAAGTCAACTGGAGACATGGGAGGGAACTCAGGATACAATGGGGACACTGAAGATACTCAAAGCAAGAGAATTATAGTAGTAGGCAAGAGCTTCAGACCCTTATGAATTTAGGTCTCATTCCTTCTGCTGTAAACATAAAGATTTGGTTATCTCTTTTTAACTGCAAAAATGCTAATTTTGGGGAGTCCAGGAAGATATGCGTCTTTTTATGTGGCTCTAAGTAAATGTCGACAGTATCATTCACATGGTAAACGTAATTAGTAAGACTGGATTGTAAAAACCCACAAAGTTTGAACTTGGAAAACATTTGCTTGCTGTCAGCAAAGGTGCAGCTCTACCTCTAGGGAGCTCAAACTACCTCCAAGTGAGCTTTCTCTGACAAAGCTTGCTTTCAGGAATTACCTTTCAGTTATAGAGCTGTTACCTACCATTCACACAGATACAAGGCAGATAAAACTTTATACAATAGCAGAAACCACTTGGGCTTAAGCCGGCACTGAAAATTATTATCACCTAGCAGCTGTTTAGTAGCCCACACTAAATGAACTTGTAGCTTCAGCTCCAGATGTATAGGAGGAAAAGCTCCTAAAAGCTTTGAAACATCAAAACACACTGCAGCTCTGC